TCCTCCTTTGCACTCCCCAGTTCCTCGACAGATAAAGTATTTAAAAATGTCTCTATTTATGCAGGTATTGTCATAGACTTCCTCTTGATCATTAATGATGTAATAAAGCATTTAAAATTTTTAATTATTATGATAAAATTTTTCCTTTCACAGTCTTTAAGACTTAAGAAGTCTTCCTTAAATAGACCAGCATTATAGCCTTGGTGAATACCTTGTCATAATGACTATGACAATAGGAGAAAAAATGTTTTTTTCTCCAATATCACTGAATATTTCACATTCATTATAATCTATTTTAGTACATTTCTAAGGAACAAATTACAAGAAACAAGTTGTTGTTCCTTTACATGTCTCAGGCTTATTTAAACTTACTTGTTTTAACATGCAGCCACCTCAATACACTGACCCTCTGGATCATTCTCATAAGTGACAACAAGGAGGCACATGTGATTTTGCTATTCTTACATCATGAATGCTCAATGCAATGATCTTTTTAAAGTTATTTTAAAAAAAATAAACCAAAATAATGCCAGAAATGGATATTTTCTCCATTTATATTCACTAATAATTTGGCAATTATGGATCCTAAAAATGGATGACGGAGAGTCTAGGAAGGAGTAACTACAACATCCATCAAAAGTGCCGAGAAGGCCTATGGGAAGTACTAGGGAGTAACTGGCTTCCCATGATCAGATTTACAAACCTCCTCAGGTTAAAAGAAGGATATAAAACACTAGCAGGCTGTACAGGTTGAATAATCTTCACAGATTTCCAGTTAAATCTATATTTCTATGGCCAAGTGAGTGTTTATCTTCTTCATTTCTCAAGTACCTGAAACCCTAGATCAGCTGTGCTGCGTACTGGGAATTCGGCTGCTTGGCTGTGATTATCCGCCCGGAACGGCAAGAAGATGGGAAATTACATAATTGACTGTGCCCGGGATTCTCTTCAAGATAAAACATTTAAGGAATTAATTGCATGGTATGTAAGTAGAAACCCTACTACTTATAATTAGAGTCCTGATGAAAGACAATATCCCTATCACCCCTGCACACTCCAAGAGATTCTTCTCCATTAAAATAGCAATGCCATTTGGCATGAAACGGAACAAGTATGTTTTGAAGATGGAAGTTTTTCCAAGTTAAAAAAATATATATTTCTTTAGTTTTCATATACAGTCAGTATAAATGCTGTGTCATTATTTATCTGATATTGCAGCTGTATTTATAGGCATATTGAGATTGTTTTCTCCACATTTTCTTAATGGATAGGAACAATTAGAAGTCCCCATAAATTGAAATTGCTGAGCAGGTAGAGAATGTGCAGTCCAGAGAGGGCTTTATAGGACACTATCAGTTCATATTATCAAAATGAAGACTGAGAAGTTACTCAGGAACAGAACCAGGACCTTACATCTTTGGAGTCGAGTGGAGGAGTTACCAAATCCAGGCAACAACTGGTACTTAAAGGCAAACAAATTACAATTACAAATTAAATACATACAAATTTACATACAAATAAGCACATCTCGGTATAGACACTTAAAAGTCTGTGGACATGTGCATGCATGCACATGAGAAGAAGATATCTGTACATAAAAGCAGATATATGGACCATTCCACCAGGTCTAATTACCGCTAAAATTAGATCATCTTTCAAACAGAAAAAAAACCTCTCTCCCTGCTACCAGTCACTATGGAGTTTATTTATGTTTATAGCATCTATAAACATGATGGTCTCTTTGCTATGCAGATGGAGAAGAAAACACAGTGGGAATTTGAGAACTGACACAATGCAGCACTAGATAGGCAGAGGTTGAACCACAATTCTCCTATTGTGGGGTGTCTGCAGGCTCTTAAATTTGCCTTCCTTTTTACTCGTTGCACTGAGCGACTGACAGCTTTTGCTCGTATTATTAATTAATGAACTCTTCTCTTTGTTAGGGGGGGGAAAAAAAACCCTACTACTGCATACTTCTTAGGGAGAGAAGAGGGGAAAAATTGGAAATGTTCCCAAAAGGCAGAAATAGAGAAAAAAAAAGGAAGATATTAAGACTAAGACAGTTTATGACACACGGAGTTCAGAAGGAAAATGTTGATTCTTGGCTCATTAAATTGCAGCAATCTGCATCCTTTTAACAAGAGGCAGAGAGGGAAAGTAAGTTAGCAAACGTTTGGAGTCACAGATTGCCACCCCGTTCTCTCTTAGGTTTATACATATCCTTTGCCATCGAGTTTGTCTTCCAAAAGGCACCGGCTCCCACTTGGCAGCAGAGCAGCTCTCCTGCCACAAAGGGAAACACCAGGACGTGGCACCTGGTCACACCAGCAACCACAGACCAGGTCTAACCAGGTGAACACCAGGCTGCTCCGGCCCAGGGGGATGCAGATTGGGTTAAATCTCTCCTAACAACAGAACTGCAGTTATTTAATTCGATAGAGACCTGACTGTGCTTAGGGTTTTGCCTAAACATCCCCTCCTCCTGTGAGCACAAAGGTTTCCACGCTGGCCAGGACGGGTCCTCACCTTGCGGCAATGCCATTCCCGTCACTTACTCCTCAGATCCCATGGATTTTGTGCCTTGTATGATTAAGAAAAATGATTAAGAAAGAGCCTAGCCGCGTAAGAAAGCGTTTCCACTCGAGATCCTACAATTCAGTCATCTGCTTCACACATAAATTTTAATGCTACGTTAAAAACTCACCTGCCAGTCTCAGCAGACACGTGCGAGCTGGTGTCAAAAACAGCAGTTTTCGAGGCAGCAAGGGGAGAAATAATCCATAAAGCTCCATCATCATTATTACTTATCATGCGTTGTCAAAAAGCTGTCACGTCTGTGATTTACATAATGTTAATGGATTGCCGGCGCTGATAGCGAGGCACCTAATTGCATTACAGAATAGTGCTACCAGGAAATTGCTAAATCTTGCCATCAAACATCAAAATGACAATTTTAATTGTAAAATCAGGATTTTAATGTCCTGAAATTGTCCTGTTTTCAGCGTGCTGTCTTACCAAGGAAATCAGGCAGCAATTAGCTCTCGCCATGACTTGCACAACGTCACAGCACCAACATCTTCCCTTCACGCTCGTGATATAACATGATATGCCTCAATTCTTGATTTAAGCTTTAATTTACTCAATAAACCTGCCTCACAGTAGGTATCCAGCAGGAAAAGGCTTGCTCTTCTTCTTCAAAAAGATAAAAGTGATTTCCAAGTTCTTTGCTTTGTTTAGAAAAGGATTATTTGACAGAATGAAAACCAAAGGCCTTTCTAAAAGGTTTCTAAAAGATCAGATCAAGACCAACTTCTGCACCTGTGTTCATATTAAGATTCAAGACTCTGCCTTTTCTTGTGCTTACTGATGATTATTGGTGCAGCATGAAATGGAGATTGAGAGAAACTCAACTGAGAAGAGCAATAACAATAACATGGCCATTGGGCAAAATAAGCAGAATAAGAAAATCATACAAATATTTGACCAAAAATGTATATTAGAATTTACACAGAACCCAACTGCATACTGTCCAAGGCGCTAGATTTATGTCAAGTGTCAGAAATTTTCTATTTCTTTTTCTCTCTCTTTGTTTGACCCTATCTCTTTGTTATTGTAATGAAGGCAGAGCGCTTTTCTCTTGCAGGGGATCCTTGGTTGTAGCACTATGGAATTAGTTGAAGAACGAAATGCAATAAAATGCACTTTTTTCCTCCACGGAAGCTTTAGAAAAAGCTTCACATCTTGGAAATGACTTGGGCATTTTAAACACAGGAAATGCAGTTAATCATAAATGGAGTCTAACTAAGCCAGGCTGATGGATCAACATTGCTGGCGGTGGCTTAAGCTATTTTACTGTTCTGCAAGGCACACAACAGTCAAACGGCAGCAAATGAAGCACTTGGCAGTGTCACTGCTTTTAATTTAGTGAAACAGTCATTGGTTTTTTTTTGCCTCCCATACAATGAAATGAAATTGTTGGTACAATTCTCACCTTGCACGAAGTGTTACAGCAGTTTATAAAGTAACAGAGACGATGCCACATCACATATGCAAAGAAATACATATTGATAAACTTGCTGTCATGTGTCATCCATAAAACAAGAACCCACTTTGCACTCATGAACAGCAGGAGTGGCTTTTGAGCCATTGCCTTCCTCACTCTGGTTAGTTGACAGACTTCCTAGATACCCGTCGTCATTTCACACATGCAGTCCATTTCAGCTCTGAACTCTCTACATCTGCTTCAGGATTACGTAATTCTTCTTTATATCTTTAAAAACCCTCTAGCCATTACTGCACTAATGCTCAATTCACAATGGTCATGCAATTCCGTATCCCTCTGCCAAGTGCCCTCTCTCTCCTCTTGCAAATCACTCATTAAACCCACATCTTCCAGGAATCCTTCCTACTTTGTTCTTTTTTTTTTCCCCCTAATCATTAATCTCCTCATGATTTTCACTACTTCAAATCCTGCTCAAATCCCCATTCCCCCCCCTACCATTAGGTGCAGCAGACTTGCTTCTTATAGCTTTGATTAAGGATAAAATGTAGATCCCGCGCCACGTGAAGCCTTTGCCTGAGCAGCCAGGAGCGGGAAAAAAACCCAGCGGTGCCTCTCCTGATCTGCAAGGTGAAAATATTGGGCTGGAGATGCTGGACACGCCAAAGGATGGCCCTGAGAGGCACCTGGCTCCAGTGGGGACATCTCCTATTCCTTGAATAATGACCAGGTAGAGGAAGAGCTTTGAATAGTCAGATTTGCATCTATCTCTGTTCTGTACATATATATATATATATATATATACACACACACACACATACGTTATATATACACACACACACGCATATATATACGTTTATATATGGCCCTCACAGTAGGTCTGATTTTGAGGATGCCTCTTCCCCAACTGTGCATGGGAGGACAACGTGACTCTGCGGACATCTCTGCTTACCCGTCTCTCCCGTCTCCAGCACAGGATTCCCGCTTCCGCAGCACTTCCTGGAGGTGGCAAAGAGGAACGTCGTGCTGTCCTCTGCACAAGCCCACTGTCCCTCTTTGGTGACCCAGATGTGGGGGGCAGTTGGAAGGTCAGCGGGTCCCACGGTGGCCTGCAAAGAAAGACCATCTAGATGAAGGTCTTCACAAGCAGTGCCGGTTGGAATCTCATTTGTGGAATGCAAGCAAGGGAAGGATTACTAATGGCTTTAATGTGTAACAGATATAAACTAAATCTATGTAATATGTGTAACCTATCGCTCATTTTAAGCCATGCTGTGACTTCATATCATGCCCTTCATTCCATAAAATTGTAATCTTGCTTCCCTTGGATATTGCTGCTCCTTCCCTCATGCTGCTCCCTCTCACTGGAACAATCCTGGTCATCAGTAGCTCTCTTCCCTTTGATTTCATCTCCTCGCTGCAGAGAACTAATAACTCCCCAACTCTCCTGATTTCACTACCCTCAAAAGTCTTTTATGGCAAGTTCAGCAGCAAGGTTGTTGCTCGCATGCTTTATATGGTTTTGATGCCATGCTAATGCTCAACATCGATCACAAAACCTGTTATTTTTAGCATCTTCCAGCCTGTTAGAGATGACAGCCTTCCTTTTCAACAGTAATGCATCTCAAACAATTGTCATGCCCCTCGTGTATATCCACAAATAATTACTAGGATGCCAAGGTACAAAGCCAGCGCACACTGCTGACTACAGCTGTGCAATGTAAAACTTAACACTCGAGTAGCTCCCTAAGCTTCTCCTCGTCTTTTACGCCGCCCAGGTACCGGGTGATAATTAACTCCTCGCATTTCTTCCTTCTGTGTTTTCCTCCCTCGCGTGTCCTCCAAGCAATCACAGCTCCTGTGCATTTAGCCACATCCCCAGCCCGGCCAAGCGGCAGGGAACTCCACAGAAATCACAGTCACGTTTCTGCGGCTGCTTTCTGTTATTTTTCTTGCCTTAGTCTAGGTTTTACTATGCCAATTTTAAAGTTTTTAAGTTTTTTGTCGACCTTTTGATAAGGAGAGAATTGCTCTGTCTACAACCCTAGGGCCTATGATATTCCATAGTGATCTCCAACTGTATCAAGCTGCTGAATGCTACCAAGCTCTGCCTTTAGCGCAGGCCACCGAGCGCTGCAGCAGCTCCGGGTGCTGCCGGGGCTCTCCGAGAGGCTCCGCACGCCCCTTCCAGCCCCACTCACCACGGGGCTCCCTCTGACCCTCGGCCCTGGCCCTAGAGATGCAGGGAGGGAGCCAGGGGCCTCCCTAGAGCCATTCCTCCTGCTGGCAGGACACACAAGGTGATAGGAAACACCTGGCACACACCCGGAAACACTTGGCAACACCTTCCACCTGGAAACACCCGGCACACACCTGGAAACACCCAGGTCTTTCCACTCTGCTCATCAGATGCACCCCCCACAGCTGCCTGTAACTACCTGTTTCCACCTCCTTCCATTCCCAATTTCTCTCCATGCTCCTTGTGAACAAGTGGCCGTCCAGGAGAACTTGGCAATGACCCCCTCGCTTGCTCTTACGCTCCATTAAATTCCAATTCAATGTATTTTTTTTAAATCATCTGCTAGCATCTCACTTTTCATTATTAATAATCATACAGAAACAGCAAACAGCACTGACGTTGCTGCACCTTTCCCTCTCCCCACGTCCAGGTGTCTCTGTCACCGGCCGATCTTCCCCTATTCCACTCACTGCTGAGCATCACATTTAATCCTTCATCTACCCTTTCCCAGCTCATAACTTAGATGTTCTTCATCACATTTTCACAGCTCTGCACAAATACAAAAGAAACATCATCTTATTACCACACAATAACTTTTTATTAAAAAACAAGGTTTAGTACTCCCAGATCTTACCCAACAGTTTAATTTTCAGATAATAACTCTCAGTGGGGAACAGAGTTCTGTGCAGCAATTTCTTCAGCTCACTCCTTAAGAGGGATGCAGTTTCTTTTAATAAATATTCAGAGTATTTATTCCTTCCGTGGGAATAAATTGCTGTTCAAGGAATAAAGTCTTGTATCAAGAGCCAGCAAATTTACATTTGTGCTTCTGCCACCCACCTGTGGCCTCCTCTGAATAAGAGATTTCACTCGGCTTCCTTTCAGGAAGGCCATACTTGCTCACTTCAATACGGGAAGAGGGTCTGGGAAGTTAAGGAAGCCTAAAGAAAGAAGAGCTGATTTTTCAGTGCTGGGATGGAACAGGGAACACGTCACATGCTCCCAGTCATGCAAGCTTTGATGTCCCCTAAGGTTCCTGAATCTGGGAGCCAATTTGAGCTTCTTATTCTGTTTTTGAATGTTCTCTCTGCAGCCCCCCAAAGAAGCTCACACTAAGCCACTTGAGCCAATATAACCACGAATTCTAGTGAGAACAAGACACTCAGATACTTAAAGGTGCTTTTTACTTAACTGCTTTGTAATATGCTCTTTAGAAAAGTAACATATTTTAATAGAAAGTTTTAATTTTAGGCAAGGCCGAAACTTCTCCGTCCCATTAAACTTCATAAACCCACCGACTTCTACATCATCTCCTGGTTCCTAGTTAAAAAGTTAGCCAAGCCTTTCCTTTTAAAGTTCTCTGTGCTTTCAAAACTCTGAATTATTTATATATTACATGTGTGTGTACATAACAGTACCATATATATATATCTATACACATAACTATACAAATAATTTTAAGTTTTACTTGTAGAGGACATAGAAATGCTTTTGGGGTGGAATCCAGGTAAAACTGGTACTGAACAGGGCCTAGATTGTTATATGAACTGCATGAATGTCAGAACAGGAAATACTGGCTACCTGCAATAAATAAATTTTCTGCTTCCCAAATAAACGCTGTGTTCCCGAGTCCTGCAGCTTTCTCGCTCCCAGATTGCCCTGTGGCAACACACGCCAAAAACGGAATCTTTAAGCGGGGATAGGTCGGACACTTAAGGAGGGAGGAAATGCAGAAAACATGGGAAAGCTAAATGGATTTGGGAGGTATAGAGGAGAGCTGCAAGCTTTAAGGGGCCTGAGATCCCCTTTGCAAGGCTAACGGAGATGCTGCTGCAGAAGCCCAGCATTTAGGCTTTCATAGGCAGATACTCACTGAAAACGTTGACTCCCACGATTAATCAAACAATTGCTCAGCGAAAATATAAAGCAATTATTTCCACGCACACTTGTCTGAAAAATTAGACTTCGTGTCTCCTTACCAGCACTGGTTAACGGTCTCTCCTCCAACAGCCTGACAGATTGTGTAGTGAAATCCAGTCCCCAACAGCACGTGCTGCCTCACCAGCTTCTTCCTCTTCTCCTCTCCGGCACCAGGCCCTGAAAGTCATGAACACGGAGGCAGGGAGTGAGAAGCTCCAGGGACGGCTCCCACACACCCGGAGCCACAAGCTGGATGCAGCCTCCAGCCTGCACAGGCGCTTGGCTATTCCCATTTCAAAACACTGCATTAATCTTGCAGCAAGAGAAGTATTTATCTACATTTTATTCAATTTACCATCTACAGTGCACCATCAGCTGAACATTATTTTCTAGCTATTTTTCTTTGCTCCCTAATTTTTTAGTCAGTTTTGTTGCTTGAATTGTGACCTAGTGAAGACTTTTAAGAGCAAACCCTGTATTTTGGAAAGGGGCAGCCAAATGAGGGCTTCCTCTGGGACAAGACTTGCTCTTCTGCTATCTAAAGAGGTTCAGGAGAGGAGGAGCCCTCAGCACAGAAGCTGGGATGGATCCAGAGACCTGCTGAGGATGAGAAACTGGAAGACAACAAAAGCACCTAGTTATTGACTTAAGCCTGGATTGCATTTGTATTTTTTATTACCGTTATTATTTCTTAAAACGGCAGCCTTAGAGAGGAGAGACACGTGCCTGTGTTTAAAATGATGGAAATTTGGCACACGACTGGCAAGCACATTTTTCATTTTATTTTCTAGAGGGGGAGGGATCTATTACTTTTCTTTGTTTTATTTCTCCTTCCTCTGAATGATGTTTGGGAGCTCCAAGGAAACATAAGCTTGCAGGAGAGCACTGGAAGGGGAAGGCCCTTCCTTCCTTGCTTGTCTGAACTTGATACTACATTTCAAGGAAGCACACATAAAGAATGACACAGAAGTACAGGGACACAGTCAATATTCAATAGTCACAGTCAATATTCAATAGTCACAGTCAATATTCAATAGTCACAGTCAATACCTCCTCCTCATGGCGCCTTCCCCTCTGCTTTCCCCCAGGATGACCATTCCCAAAGGAGAGGGACCTGAAGAGGAACCTTGGAGACTGCTGCAACCAGCACTGCGACTCTGCTTGTTGCTCCCATACTTAATAATCAGACTTAATGATCTTCCTAATGGGCGAGAGGCCTACGATATTAATCAATGTTTAACAAAGGCAGAGAGCGCTGCTTGCGGAGTATAAATACTTGCACAGAAAGATTAAGCATTTGTTTAGCAAGCCTAATTAAAAAGCTCCTCTCAATGATCGCTGCCCTTTGGAGGCTCTAGACTCCTTGACTAAGGAAATGGGCCGTTTTCAGTCACCGAGAGCTTCCTTCCCTTCATAAACGATGAGTGGTTGCAAGGACCAGAAGGTAAATTCTCAGCTGCTATCTTAATTTAGAAGGCATTTTGGCATTCTGATATGCTTAGGAGTTTTGGGAGGCTTCATTCTTTTTTCTTCCCCTGTAAATGAGCAAACTGAAGGGAACCAAAGGTGAGTATCTCTAAAACAGCCATAGTCTTCGCTTAAGTGTAAATAGGAAAGACTATATCCACAAGAGAATTATTTTTGACTATTTTTAATACAATTTTCTAATTTTTATTGAAGGCTAAGGATCAGCAAGGAAGGTATTTTACTGCATAAAGATTTGATAGCATAAAATAACATAAAACAACAGAATGGGATGCTATACTCACTAATCAAACTAATCAGAACACGTGACTGACAATGGTGAGCCTGTGACGTGCAGCAAACACAGACCTCACTTCATTTAACACAAATATCTTGTCCCCTAATATCAGCTGTGCAAATTGTTATTCTGAAAATAAAGTCCTAGGGTAGTAACGTACGTCGTTAAAGGCAATAGCAGTTGATATT